CCCCCCCCCCGTCTCTCTCTCTCTCTCTCTCTCTCTCTCAGTCTGATGGTCTGAAAATTAAACTGTTTTTCAAAGCCTTATTATTATAAATATATCTTTCCTATTTATGGTTGTTTTTATATGTTGCAGAGAGGCTACACATTTATAGCAGAGTCCAGGACCACAGACCAGCCTCTGCCTAATGGCAAGTGGCGTATGCGTCTGATTGGTTCACTGACTGCCCTGCCTGCTCCAGCCAGGAATGAGGTGAATTGTAGCTTCCACACCAGAGAGATCAGAGACTACTACATCCCCAATGAAAAGTGTATCATATTCAGGTAAATAGTATTAGTCATGTTGTTCTTGTTTGCTCTGTGCAGGGGAGGTTCCAGTCTGCTAAAGTCAATTCAGAAATTAATTTTAAAGCTCTTATTTGATATTAATATTTTATAAGTCCCTGGCAAGCACATTTTGACCATCTTTTGGCAGACCCAGGAGACCAAGGTAAAATATCCTTGTAGTTTCATCAAAGGGTTGAGCAATTTCGAAACTCTAGCCCAGTAAGTGAGTAGATTGTATAAAGAAGATGAAAATTTCCTTTGTAGTTGATTATAATTTTGTTAGCCTTGAATCCTTACTCCTCGAGAAAAAAAAAAAAACAGTATACGTACCAAATTTTTCAAAAATATCTTTAATATTTTGCTGTTCCCAGATGCAATATAATATTTTTAAAATACTTATTACTTATGTTAATTTGTTTTTTACTAAAGGTACACAGTGAAGGTGACAGAGGAACATGTGGCCAGCCTCCAGATGTCCACCTCTAAGCCAGATGTCTACATCAAGCTGATGGTGCTGGACCATGAGGAGGAGGTGCTCAGTACAGTGGGCAAGGGCCATGCAGTGCTGCCATCTTTTATCTTCCTCAAGGACCCTGGTAGTGACCAGTCTGTATCAGAAGAGAAGGAGGATATGAAGAGAGCCAACAGCAGAGCTTGTGAGTATATAACAGGTGTTGTATATGTATGATCTAACTATTATTATTGTAAGTCCATAATATATTCTGTTTTTCCCACTAGTCAAAATGCCATGTAATAAGTCTGATTAGATTTGCACCTGAAATATTAGAAAGTTTCTTTATATGTATGTGTTAAAAAATTCTGTATTTTATTTATCACTATACCACATACAATTGCAGAATTCTGATTATTTTAATACAGATTTTATAATATTAAATTGGGGTAGAGATTCATACTGTGGTTTCCCATTCCAGCCAACAAGGGTGGTGGTAAAGCCCATGCTGCAGCCAGTAAAGAGAAGGATGCTGGGAAGAGACAGGGCTCAGCCATGAGCAGAGCAGGATCGGTAAGAAGTTACATGACAATCTTCTGCTTTCTTCGTGATTTGTCTTCTGATGTTCTGAAAAAAGGTGCCAGTAGAAATGTTAACATATATTCTGTTAATAAGGGAATTTTAAGTATTGTTAATGAACATGGTTTAACTAAACAGGACATGGAAGAAGTATGGCAGAATTATTAATCTCTGTCTGTAAGTGAATAAGGAATATAGTGTTTATAATCCTGATTTTCCTTTTAAGCATGCAGTGATAGAGGTGCCCCCAGTACAGGTACAGGTGATCACAAAATACACTACCCTGCATGCTGAGTGTCACACTGGGTTAATGCAGTGATATACAAAAATCATATTTATTTATTTATTTATTTATTTATTTATTTATTTATTTATTTATTTCTTGAGTGTGTCGTCCTTTTGTGTTCCTTATTAAGTGGTGCAGTATTTTTCAAAGCATGAACAAAGCACTTAAAATTTGATCCCTTTTGCATGATATTCAGTACACACACCTGATGATGATGATAACTACAGCAATGGTGGCATGAATTATGATATACATTATGAGTGATCATTAAGATGAAGGCATTAATACAGCACAGATTTGCTTATTACAGGAAGGCAGATTTATACCTTGTTTATGTGTGCACTTGTTTGATTTTCCTCCAATTTTATTGCACAATTAATTCTTCCATTTGCATGCTTTGTATTCAAACCAACATATTTTGAATTAACCATTGCTGTGTACAGCATGACGTTCATGGTGGATTCTAATTAATCAGACTCTTAACCAGATGATTAATCAGTAATAGGTAGAAGGGTCAGCAGAAGGGTCATTTTAACATACAAGTAGTTACATATAATACAATATACCATGACATTTGATATAATTGATCTTTTTCACATAAAGACAAAGCTGTTAATCTTAATTTGTAAAGTAGAGGATTGTTTTATTAATTATTATATTTAATTCTACCATATAGTAAAACATTGTAACAAATTTATCTATTTTATACCATGTTTAGAAAAAAGCTGTGTTGTCAAGTTAGGTTTAGCTTTGTTCATTAGTTTAATAGAGTTAGAAATGTGAAATTGCAAAAACACATATTAATATTATGTAGCTGACAATTTCATGCCTACCATGTCGGTTATACCAAGGGTCATGATCTTCAGTTAAGATAGATTGTGATTTTTAGTTTTTCTCCTTTTTTTTCCAGCGGACTAGCAGCAGACATTCAGATCTGCCACCATTAGACCCCGAGGAAGAGGAGAAGGAGAATAGGGTGAGGAGGAGAGAGGGTGTTATATAGAGACTTATTATAGACATCAGTGATCTACATGTAGATATTTAATTTGTTACATGTTCATTATTATTTATTTACATTTATAAGGAATGCCATTGCCAAAGATGTTTTAGTTAAAAGTCGTAAGTACGATATATTGTAATTAAGATATGAACTATTGTTATTATAACCAGTATGGTTTAATTCACTATGTCACTTTGTATTTCAGCCCCATAAGTACATTATTCAGGCCATGGTGATGAGGAACAGCTGGCCACTGTCGGAAAGTAGCTGGACATTTGTACAGATGCTTAAGGATATGGAAAAGAATGAACTGAAAGGTAGTTAATTTGGACATATTTACTTCTACAATGTTATATGTTAGCATTCAATCCATTATTGGTATTGTTTGTGACGTATCTAAGAAACGAAATTTTGAATGTTTAGTGCATCAAGAATGAAAGGCAGGAATAGATTTTGTTTCTTTTTAATTTTGACTTAAATCCTTGGTGCTGGGAAACATATTTTTAACAAGTTTTCAAGGGAATTGGATGTGAAACATTGCATTTTTGTTGAAGAAAAAAATTATATCATCATTTCCATGAAAATGTATGTAAAAATCCTCTCATGCAGTTGCTAACAAGGAAGAGCGTCCACCCTCTGCCCCTAAGAATGACAAGGCCCAGGGCAAGGCTGCCCAGGGGAAGGGCAGCAAAGGGAAGGACAAGGACAAGGGAGCCAAGGACAAGCAAGGCTCCAGACCACCATCACAGCAGTTTGATACCACCAAGCCTTACTGGACACTGAGGATTGTTAGTGATGGGACTGCTGCTGTAAGTGATTTGTTCTACTTATCAGTCTTACTGTCATTGAAATTATTTTTATGGGGATCTACTGGTCATAATGCTTGTGATTTCAGGCATATAGGAAGTAAATTTTACAGGAAAAGACTGAGCAGAAAAAAGTTTTTGAGTTTGCTATAATATTGTAATCATATATTTGTCTTATTGAAGTGGACGGGCCTCTAACCCCCTCCCCCCCCCTTTCCCTGACTCCTAGACATATGGATGTATAGACTTCTGAATTTTTTGTTTTTGTAGGAAGAGATAGATGTGAAGAAGGACACAGAGAGAGCAGATGAGATTCGTGCCATGAAGAAGGCCTGGGAGGAGGCTGAGCCAGGGCGTGCAGCCAAGGCGTTGCAGTCCCGCCTCCAATATCTCAGTACACACATGATCAAACTGCAGCCAGAGGGAGAGGAGGGAGCAGAGAAAGGGGACAGTGCCGCTGCAGCAGCAGCACCCCCACAGGAAGGTGCAGAGCAGATCTTGGCGGCAGCTGCGGCAGAGATGGGTCCACCACAGACACCCACTTCTGAGCCTCCAGATACAGAAGAGATTCTAACGCTAGAACCCCCACCACCACCTACACCTAAAGAGATGCTGCAGCCTCTGGACCTCACTCCCTACCTGAGGTATACTGACAGTGTGATACCACAGACTGACTTAATCTCAGTGATCAGACATGAAACATGCTGACAGTTATTTTCTTTTATATTGGCCATCTCTGTAATAACAACTGGGGTTGAACAAGTTCAGATTTAACTTTGAACAACGCTAAAGTAAAATTCCAAACTGGCACAGTACATCATGAAGTGAACATATCAAAGATTTTTTTAAAACCAATATTATGGGTAAATTAGTAGTGTCTTGAGAAACAATATATATTTGTAGAGCTAAATGAGAAGCCAGTGCTGTATTTCATTATATTTTCAATATTTTTTATTACTTTGCAGGAAATCGGGTGATGGTCCCAGATACCTGGACGAGGCCGAGATCCAGAGACAGATGGACGCCAAGAGGAAGGAGATTGAGGAATACAAGGCATTCAGGGAGCAGGTAGAACAGTGGAGGGAAGAGGACAGGCAGCTGAGGAATCAGCTGAAGATCAAACAGCTAGAGGAGTGTCAGGCTTTGCAGGTATGCTATACTACAACTTTAACATGTGTTTCTTGACCATATCTGAATTTTTGAAAACGAAGGAATTTTGTAAATGTTTTTATTGAGGATTTTTTTTAAATTCTGTTGTTTCGATATTAATTTTGATATTAAATTTCAATATTAAATTTGTTCAGAATTTGAAAGATTGTTGACCCCCCCCCCAAAAAAAAAAAAAATGCTAAGTTTTTAAAAGGAGACATGTCTTGCAAACACAGTTTATTAAACTTTTTTTTTTCAAGAATAAATTTCAAAACTTTATGGATTGAAATACCACTTCTCTTAGGGCTTATACATATGAAAAACAATGTTTTCCAGGAGTTTCAACCACATTATTGTCCATGTATTCCTGTATTTCTATGAATTTCTTGCTTCCTACTAGCACACACTTCATGCCCAGAGAGCAGCCTATGTGATCATGCACACTGTGTACATACAGAAGTGCAGGGAGGCTATGTCTGAGATGGAAGGTGACCACAGAGTTAATACAGCTGCCACTGATACATATGCTGACACTGAAATAACTTTGACTTTACCTAATCACCTTGTTCTGACAGATGGTGATGAAAATCATAGGAATCAGTCTGATGGGGTGATATGTGGAAAGAGTGAAAGAACTCCTTGTGAGGTGCTGATGGAAGGTGGCAGAAAATGCTGTAAGCACTGAGAGAGTACCAGCACCAATATTAGTACCTTCCACTTAAATTATTTATCCCAAAACAGGCTACTTTCCCATATTTCAGTTTTCAGTGATGCCCACATTCCAGTAGGAAAGACGTCTGTGACCCTAAAACACCATTCATCCCAATGCCAGTTGATTTTCGTTCATTTTTTTATTCAGGTGAATTACTTGTAGACTAAAACGTTTATCCCCAGCAAAGAATCCAGACATCTGAGCACACAGCACATTAGTCCATTTAACAATATTTTTCACTCAAATTTTACCTATCTATTTCAGAAGTTCCTATCCTTCAAACTGTACACATATCGTATTATGTTATCCATCCCTTTATATGTACCCATCTCTCTCTCTCTACTCATATAGTACTAAACACTAGTCTCCCAACTGTTGTTTGACCACCTGCACTCCCTTCCCTTTTATAGGCTGCACTTGACAAGAAACGTAATGAGATCAACATTCCTCGTGAAGCCTTCAGACAGAAATTCCTGGAGGCAGAGAGGAAACGCCTGGAAGAGCTCGCAGCCCAAGAAGCAGCACTCCGTGCAGAGCAAGAGAAAGCCCCTTCACCCAAAGGAAGGAAGAGTGCCAAGGGAAAGAAAAGTCCAGCTGGAAAGAAAAAGAAATAGACTTTTCCAATTTGTGTTGAAAGCTTCTGCTCAAGTTGTGAAGTATCTAAATAATAGTCATACTGGCAAGCAGCGACTGTGATATTCAATGTAATTAAATGTGACATGGATTTCAATATAATTATGACTTTCCTTATCAAGATTTTTAAAAAGTTCTGTACATAAACTGTACATCTTATAGCTGTATAATTTCTATGCCATCTTGTAAATTTATGATATACAATTTTATTGCTATAGTTAGGTTTGGCAAGTACAACATGTTTTCAAGGCTTTAAGTCATTAGCTTTTGCTTACTACTAGACTTCCTGCTATATTTTATAGCCTTACAAGTTTGAGCTTTAAGTGGAAATGAAGAGAATGTGTGAGACCGAATGCCTGGCTTTCTTATAGTATGTATCATTTACTTTGGTGTTGTGACTTTTTTAATATAAAAAGTCAACTTCATGATTTCTCTGTGTTGACAAACAAGAGTTCTTATCAAATTCTGTCCACTTCTCGCTGCTGTTGACCAAGGCAGTGCAGAGAGCCCTTTGTTTTTGCCGTCCTTTTTTCACTCACACTCCGTCCTTGAGCTCTTAGGCTGCAAACTGTTATTTGCTGAGAGATAACTGTTGCTGAAGATGGTTTCAATGTTATACTCCCTCGTTTATCAGTGAATTAAATGACCAGAATGTGATGTTGACTGTGACATATAATTAAGACCAAATCTCCTACATTCCACACTTGTAAGCCAGCTTACCACTCGGCAAATAACCAGCATGATAGAGAGAGCCAACCAACAAAATGGCCCTTCATTTCCGTCCTAGCATGTTCTGAGATGTACTCTTTTTTTCACTATTTGTAGCACCACTATGCCACTTAATATGTAAACTGTACTGTGTTCACCTGCAGGCCTATACATTTGCAGCAATTTGTATGTAACTGTTGTACAATTTTTTCTATATAGGTATCTTATTATTCAATTTGTAGTCACCAGGTATATCTGGTGTTTGCACATTCCAAATATGAAACATATCATTTGTACAGTTAAGAAAGCTCCCGAGCTTTAACCCCACCCTGGTTAATGGGACCAAATTTGTATTATATTTTGTGTACACATACTTAATCTTGTACAGCTGTACTTGGTATCTTTTTTGCTCTATATCAGAGAATAAACCATTTGAATATATGATATTTCTTTATTGTTATTTATTTATTTTTTTTAGTTTTTAGGGAACATTAAACCGATAAAATATAGTCGTTTGTGTGGCACAGAGAAAAATACACTAATTTATTTTAAGAGCAGTTGTCGGCTAGAATCAAATATATTAAAGACGCTATTCAAAATCAAGTTCAATAGTTTACTTCCAATTTTGTAAGCCAGAAAACTCTGTTAATGTGACTGTATACCCCTATCCGCAATAAATCCATCAATCTTTGCTGTTTACATGGCGTTGGACGTGGTAAACTGTCTTGGCCAACTGTTACTTGTAGATCGATTCGGTATAAGATGAGCGTTCAGCAGAGAGAGGTCTGAAGACGCATACTGGCCTGCCTAATGCAGAAGCTTCAGCTCATTATAGCTCAAAAAGAATTCTAAAAAGGCGATAACATACGACTCAAAATGTACAATAACGGCATAAAACTACTAAGTATGGTAAACTTACGCAAACCTGATAATTTTCTGTTGTACAAAATAAATGTGTACGCTCACCCAAAATGTAAAACGTGTAGTACACTTTACATCAACGGAGAAATGCTCATATTCGTCACAGAAATAAACAAACAGAAAACTCCCTCGCAAACAGTGACGCCCCTTACCACGTCCTTCAGAGAAAGGCTTTTTTTTTTTGCAAATGCAAAACAAATGACTCATTCAGATCTAAACATTATTTTTACTCAAGAAATTACTATTAAAATTATAGATTACTACACTTAATGTTAGGTATATATATTTAAAAAATATTTCTTGTATACATCTTAAAATAAGTTCCTTAATGTTAAAGGATTGTAAGTTTACACAACGACAACAACAACAATAATAACAATGATTTTATTTACATTTTAAAATCCATGATGAATATTAAAACTCCTGTAAAAGATCGCAATTCCAATTAATTTTTTGGTTGGGGGGGGGGGGG